ATATATGCACTTATTCAATTCCTAAAGGCGTCTATTCAACTTTTATAAAAGTACGTCAACTCGATGTTCATATTCAGCATAAGATGCGAATTTTTCAGTCAGTTTAGTTTCATAATGGCACTTCCCTTATCCCAGTATTTGCACTACATGCTCATAACTGTTATCACCATCGATACCGTTACCTTATTATTGTTGTCGTAGATATAAGTAAAAATTGAATCAAAATACATCAATCATCATTATAATTACGATGCAAATAAATATTCATTTTAACTACCCTACTATCACTGTTAATATCAGCTTATGAATTCAAATTATTTCATCTGGAATGTTCGATGTGAACTCATCAAGATAGAAATCGAAAGTGGTCACATAAGTGAGTGCCTGAGCTCGAGTAAATTGAGTGAATCAAGAAGACACATGAATCGATTGATCTCATTAACTTATTTAAATATTTATTCACATAAACATCCATTATATTTACGTTTATACGCTATATTATGCATTCTATGATGCAAGCAGATATTCATTTCACCCTCTCAAACCAACAAAAGTATCAATTTTCAAAAGCGATCAATATCTTATAAATACGTAAATAATACGTAAACATGCTTCACTAAAATTACCAACACTATAAATACTATGCAATATTATCAGCACCACTTTAACAATTATCTTGTGAAGTTTCATTGCACTATCAATCGAATCAAGCGAACCCCTCACATCAAAATTAATTAAGATATCGAGAACGGCAATGCTCATCCATTGTACGCTCTATTCAAGATTGATTCATTCTTTTCGATAGTTCGATTATGATTCTTGATCACTGTTTGTGATCCACATTAATTTTCGAACGACTATATTGAGCTTCGTATCCTCTACCGTCTATGAATCCCATTTATACATCTCCAGTTCTGCATTCGTTACCATCATCACCATTAGTACGATCATTACCCATTTCATTATATATCTATGAGTTAAAATCATATTTATTCTCTCATTTTCAATTCTATCTTGACCTACGTTGAATCCATCTACAAACTCACTTGGACTCGTTCCGGCGCTATTTGATCAAATAATAATCCCTTCTGATATATGTCATTCAATTTGATTCAATTTTGATACATACCGAAACCAGTTACGCTAGAATCTATTTTGACATCTAACGTCCGTCCAGTTGGCCATAACCATTCGCACTCGCTCTATAAACCTTGTACGTTTGATCGGCTTCATTCAAGAACGTATAAACTGTTGGGTGTATTTGAATAATGTGCCAATGCAAACTGATTGTGCCAGGCATCAAAAGAAATGAAATTCATTTATTAATTTTCAAGAAAAATAGCATCATCATTCATGTTTATCAAATTTGACATTAATGTTCATGTTCTGCATAAAATTTTTTTCTATTTGCCATCATGGTGGTCGCCATTTTCGTGGATAGTACGCATATGAATACTGGTGAGACAGTGCAACAGATAACGTAACAATATCAAGTTATTCGCACATCTTTGTGATACGTACACGTTAATAACATCTACCAATGCCATTTGAACGAGCAAAATAACGTGCTCATACTGTATCAATGGAAGCATATTTTCAGCTTTACGTCATGCTGTTTAATGTTGCTTCAATTCATATCTCACTCTAATTTTATCTTTGGTTTCATCGAGCACTTAATAGTTAAACTGATATTGTTCCGTAATTATCAATCAGCTTGGAACTACTTCATCTCCTTTGCATCCATTTTATAAATTGCTTATGCTCGTCACTACTATTGCTGATTTGATTTTAATTGATGATGATTACAAATTAATTTACATGCTGTTCTGAACAACCAAAATTGTCGCCGATTCAATGGCAAGTGTATGCCGATAACAAAGTAAATGAAACGATGAATTGTTGATGTTAAAAATAAATGCAGCTCATGAAATGTGAATCGATTAAGGTGCCGGTAGGCACCATCCAGGTCCGGTGTTTTGACATGTCTTTGTCCAGCAATCTAGATCATCCGGAATACAACGTTCAGACGGTGTGCAACGATTCGAGCACAACGCTGACACACAACATCGGCGACTGTGATGAACATGTGGATTGAGCACTTGTGCTGTAGAAGAGATAGATAGGTGCATTTAAACAGTGTTTGTTGCGATGATCAAAAGAAGTGATCAACATAATCATTCGGATGAGAGGATATTGGTGCTTCTTTGTTAAGTTTGGTATGCCAAGCTTTTAAGTTCCAGGAAAGATTCACGAATGTCGTTGAAAAATCAACCATTTCGTATGTAAATCACTCTTTCAAATAATTCATTCAGATGACGACTGGTTATGGACTTCAAAATTCAATCAAGCATGGTTTACATTCACACTGAGATTCGATTCACATTTTAGTGATGAATACGAAATCCTCAAATCTAACTTCCGCTAAACATCAATCACATTGAATGTTTTGTCATACAATTGGCCGAACGTGTTTACATAAGATAAATGTGAATATGAATAATAACACTGACCTGGTATTGGTGTTACTCTTTTAAATGATTTCTTACATAGTGACGAATAACCACTTGCATAACTGCAATCCCATTCATTCCATGAGCCATCCGGTCGATCAAAATCTAGCCACATCGTAAGGCATAAATCTGTTCCAGAAGGTGGTTCTGTGGGAAATTTCAAATTTATCACAATCATAAATTTGATTCTGATTTTAATCATAACTTCGAACTGCGAGTTACGCTCGAGCACAAGCATTGCTTTAGAGTTGAATATCTAGCTTTAAGTTTGCGAGCAAAACACTAGCGCTGAATTCTCTGAAATCACTTAAAGTGAAACGAAATACTCTAGCCCACTTCATGTTTTAAAAGACTTCCGGATTCTGGTTTTAGACTGACTTTAAAAATTTCTTTTCAAATTCATGGTGGAGATCAATGAAAACTGATAAAGAAAAACAAACTCTGAATTAAACAAACACAGCTGACCACCTCTGAATCCGTCTGAATGCCTTCCAATTGATCCGTCATTCCATTCATAAGCACCGGTTTTCGTGAGCTTCACCAGTCTTCCAAGCCATAGTGTCGGCACACTTAGATTCGCTTTCTTCGCTACATCTAGAATAGAATAATTTTGAAGGGATAATTGACGATAAATTGGTTTAACGAAGATTACTGAAGATGAGCGACCATTTTGGTGAAAATAAGTTACGAGAAAAATCAATTTTAACGAGAGAGAAGTAAAAGAATAAGATTCTATCACTGACATTGTCAAGTTGAAAAGTCGAAAGATATTTGGAATCCTTTTTATCGATTTGTCAATGAATAGTAGTCAATATGACAATCCAGTTCAGATGGATAATGCAAGAATCAGGATTGTGGTCGAAAAGAGTGGAAATCGATGTCAAAAGCGGAAAAACCTGCGTAAAACAAAATGAATATCGAAACATTAACCGAAAGCGAAAATGTTCTCGTATTCGTCTACAATTGATGCCAAATGTCCACCATATTTATTGCAAACTCTCTCTGCTTCATCCCATCTCAAGCGTTGCTCAATTACGAAGAAACAACACTTCGTACGATCATATCGAATCCAATTCCGTGGACATTCTGTGGCCACGAAAACGAAAACCGTTTATTTCATTCATTTTGTGATCCATAATCGGGGTTAGCATGCATGATCAAATTCGAACTGACCGAAGTATTAGTTCAATAATGTGCTTTAGAGGAAGATATGAGTCTTAGTTTTTTGATCGAATAATTTTTTAAGAAAGCAAGTCTTACTTCGTTGAAATTGTTACTATTGAAAATAAAGATTGCAAGGAAATTCTTGTTTCGTTCATTAAATATTGCTCGGATGGTTAATACTGACCTCCTCCTCGAGAACGTTCATTTAAAATAGCATTTGAGGAAGATGATGATAAACCTAATGCTAAATTATTTGTTGTGGATTGTTCAGGCGAAGAATCAGCAGAATTCGTCACATAGAGAATAATCGTTGATGATATCAATAATGAATAGAATGATGCATTATTTCTTTTCAACCATACACTCTTCAATATCATTACTTTTTCACGATAAACAATTCACAACCAAACGAAAACTAAAACTGACAGAAATACATGCACAGGCGCACTGATCAACTTCAAACAAAAATGATAATAATATTGCTGCTGCGAATAACAACAATAATAATGCATCTATTATTATGTTTATCAATCAAACTCAAAACTTTCACTCATTCTCTATTCTCATCATATTTCATACTGATCATCGTTTTATTCGTTCACTTTCAAGTGATCCATTCAGTTCCGCGTATACAGTAGCATTGGTTATCTTACTTTTCGTATATGTATATATATATATATATATATATATATATATAT